GACTCGTTGTGATCCACCTGTTTACAGCCTCCCAAGAGCTGGGATTACAGGCTTGGGCCACCATGCCCAGTCTCCATTACTGTCTCAGTGTGCCCTGGGGGCAGGGCCGACACTGCAGGCCCGGGATCTAACTTGCAGCCCCAGTGCCTGCTCACAGGTGCTTTAATCCACTGAACTATTTGGCCAACCTGCAGTTTTTCTTTTTTTTTATTTATTTATTTTTTTTTTTTGGTTCCTCTAATGCCTTCAGGGCACTTTTGGCCAGCGGGAGGGTTGTGAGGTTCAAACTCCAGCAACCTGAGGCTGCCAGCTTTGTGGAAGCAGCCACTTAAAGGACTGAGCTAAGGCCAGGCCCCCTGCAGTTTTTCTTAAATCATCCACATTTCTGGCTTTTTTAAACTTTTGGGTTTTTGCTGACTAGGCTTTTTACTCTCTGCTTCACATACTGCCTCCCAGGGGCACACTGCCTGGCCTCCCAGGCCTTCTTTTGAAATCGAGGTGGAAGCCTTTTTAACCTTAGGACTCCTGCATTCTGAATGCGCCTAAAACGCCACGTGGATGATGCCAAGGTCTGCTATCAGCTGGAGCAGTAGCCAGGCTTTTTTTTCTCTTGGCTGTAGGAGCCAAGTGCCTGTATCTCTGAGCACTCTGACCCTGCTTCCCAGGAGTAAATTCTCTATTCCAGCGCCATACTGAAACCTGCTGTGGCTGCTGCCACCATTCTGGAACACAGGGCTCTGTGGCCTTCCCCTCAAGGCAAAGTCCAGCCGCCTTGCAATTTTGAGACTGCAAAGGGTGGAACGTGGTTTGTTTGTTTGTTTGTTTGTTTGTTTGTTTGTTTCAGAACCTGGTATTGAACTCAGACCCTTGTGCTTGCCAGGGAAGTGTTTATTCTACTGAGCCATCTCCCCAATCCCATGAGGGCTTTTTGTTTTTGTTTTGAGGCAGTGTAGCTATGTAGTTCAGGCTGGGCTTGAACTCAAGGCATTCCTTCTGCCTTAGCCTTCCAAGTGCTGGGATTGCAAGCATGCACCACCAGGCCCAATTTAACACAAGTGTTTAACCAGTAGAAAATATGATTTGACCTTAATTAACTTGGCAGCTGAATCTGAACTGAATTTGACATGAGGCTGAAGTATTAGTATATTCAAGTGTGAACTATTACCCCATCTCATATAATACTACAGAATGTATGTTGTATTAGAGTGTCTTTTAAATTTGTGAAATAATTCTAAATTCTGAAATATATCTTACCCTAAAGTTTCCACATACATATGGATTTTCACTTTCTAAGTGTCTTTAACAAGTTTACCACTCTCCCTCCTTGCCTTGAATTTTTCATTCTTTCCCTTTTTTTGGTGGAGTGGAAATTGAACTTGGAGCCTTTTCAGTGCGCTATATGCTTGGCCTTTTTAAAGGTTTTTTGTTTTTTATTTAGTCTCTACTAAGTCTCTGCCCAAGCTGAGCTCAAACTTGAGATTCTCCTGCTTCAACCTTCCAGAGTGCGTGGATTACACTCATGTAGCACCATGCCCAGATTCTACAGATTTTAGAGTATAGTGATAGCAATAATAGTAATGTATCAGTTGAGTATCTGCTTTGCATGAGGACTTTAAATAGTTATTTTCTAGCTTACATCATCCTGAAAGGTAGGCATGATTTTCCCCTTTTGCAGAAGAGGAAAACATTGTCCACAATTTTATAGAGAGTTGTAGCGTGAATTCAAACCCATCTTAAAATCACTGCATTACATACCATACTATTTGTTAGGTAAACCAGTTACACATCTTCAAATCAGTAAATTTTGATTCTTTTGCTGATTCTTTGAGGTGGAATATCCATTTTTTCAGTGTGGGTTTTGGCATAAATCATGGGATTTGTGATTACTGTGATTCCTGTTTGGATATCAGAAAACATTTAATAAAGAGTGTTTCTGAATGTAATTCAGTCTCTGGATAAGTGGGCACTCACTAAACTTTTAAATTATACATTTGACTTTAACTTGCTAATAATATCTTGGACTCTTGTTAAACTTTGCACTTCTTTTTTTTGTTTGTTTGTTTTGGGAATTGAACTCAAAACCTTGTGCTTTCCAGGCAAGCTCTGGTGCTGCCACTGAGTTATATCACCAGCCCTTGTTAAACTTTGGTAAGAGCTTAGGAACTTCTCAAAACTGGATTGGGGGCCAGGGAGATAGCTCAGTGGCCTAAGCACCTGCCTGGCAAGCATAAAGTCCCGAGTTCAATCCCTCATATTTAAAAAAAAAAAACAAAACTAATTTGGAAGCCAAGCATGGTGGCACATGCCTGTGATCCTAGCACAAGGAAGGCTAAGGCAGATGGTAAGTTTGAGTCTTGTCTGGGTAATTTAGCAAGACCCTGTCTCAAAGTAAGAAAAAATAAAAAGATTCTGAGGCTGTAGCTCATTGGGTTTGATCCTCAGTAGTGCAAAACAACCGACAGAATTGAGTAGGTAAGTGCTGATTTGGGTATGGTTTAAGGATGTGTGCTAGGAGCTAGGTCCTGGACTGTTAAGGAAGTGGTGGAAGCTTTGCTTGACTGGGGCTCCACTCTTTGGAAAGGATTATGTGGAGGGTGCTGCACAAAGAGCGAGCCTGGATCCCTGTGGCTTTTAGTCACTCCACACTACCATCACAATGCTGTGTTGAAATATAATCAGGGGCTGGGGAGATGGCTCCGTGGAATAAGCGCTTCCCTGGCAAGTGCAAGGGTCTGAGTTTAATCCTGGGGTCCGCCAAAAAAATAAAAAATAGATATATATAAAATATAAGAAGGCCCTCAGCTGAGCAGAAGCAGGCACGATGCTCTTGACGCTCCCAAAGTGTGAGCTAAATAAACTTTTTTCTTTGCAAATTGTTAGCATCAGATATTTTGTTATAACAAGAGAAAATAGACTAACATAAAAATTTAGTATTTTAATGTTAAAGAATTATAGCTGCATGCACTCAATCCACAGAAAGTATATTTTATTATTTTGAAGTTTGTTTGGTTTTGTTTTTGTTGTTTTGTATTTTAGTACAGGGTCTACAGAGTCTCCCTACGTAGATCAGACTTGTAGTGATCCACCTATGTTCAGCTTCCCAAGAGTGGGATTACAGGTTTGCGCTACCACGCCCAGTCTCATTCGCTTTGTCTCAGTGCGCCCAGGGGCAGGGCCAGCAGAGCAGGCTGGGATCAAACCCCGGCCGCTGCGCTCTGCCTCGGCAGGTGCTTTAATCCGCTGAGCTATTTGACTGGCCCTCGTTTTTTGGAGTTTTGCCCAAGTTTTTTGTCTACGAGATGACACTATAGCTGGGTAGGGTGACTTGCATCTATAATCTCAGCACTCTGGGAAGCTCAGGCAGGAGGATCACAGGATCAAGCCCAGCGTTTAGTGACTTGGCAAATATGAAAAACATTAATAAAAATTTTATCTCAGAATTTAAGAAAAAATAAGGGTGGGGAATGTAGTTCATTGCAAGGACCCTAGGTTCAATCCCAGTTTAAAAAAAAAAAAATCAAGAAAGAGAACACACTATAAATAATACTACATGATTCATTACGAACCATTTTATAATCATTAAAATCTGGCATTTAAAATCAAATCTAGTAATGAATAATCAGGCAATAATCTATCATAGCTATTCCCAAAATAGTAATTGATGCTCATTAACTTTTAAGCTTTTGCATCTTCCAGTAGGAATAAACATTAAACTTTTCTAGAAAAATAACTGCTCGTTATAAGAATTTTCTTAAGTCATTTTTTGACATTAATTTTTGAAAGTGTCTTAAGGCATTCATATAGATTGCAGTATATTCATTATAAATTCTGTAAAACCTTCATATTATAAATCTTCGTAACACAGTGATGGTTACCACAAGGCCCTAAAGATTTTCTCACAGCTGAGACAGACCTGACACCCGTAACTGAAAGGAGAGGTTTATTTTGGCTCATGATTTCAGAAGTTTTAGTTTATGGTTGGTAGGCTTCAGGGCAGAAATGGCATGGTGGAGAAGCACCAGCAGAGGAAGGCTGTTCATGTAATGCTGGCCGAAAGCAAAGAGCAGGAGGAGGAGCTGGAGAAGGAGGGAACCCTTCAAGTCCTGTTAGCCCAGCGACCTGCCTCTAGCCCAGTCCTGCCCAGCAGAAGCTGCATTGACGCTCCTAATGCAGTCACCTTCCAAAGCTCTACTTCTAGAAGTCACTCTAGACCTATACCGTATTAGTCTCCCAGAGATTGTTTTTCAAAAAATAAGCCTAAAGCAAAACGACCTCCATCAGGCTTTTCCGTGACCTAGAGGTACCTTGTGTAGTTTAATTAGCATTTGTGTTGCATTCTGTTGCTACTAATCCCAGGAGCATAGTTTTAATTATCTAGTATGTGCCATGGTCCATTATACATATGTACATTTTGTCCACGTATATTTACAGAATTATACGTGAGGCAAGTGTAGCATTTATGAGAAAATGTTTGTCAGTTTCACTTAAAATTTTGTATTATCCACGCCGTAATCCCAGCACTCAGGAGGCTGTGGCAGGATCACTGCGAGTTCAAGGCCAGCCTGAGATACACAGC